CGACGAGTTGAGTTTTTACCAAAAAGTTCTATTTTGGTTTCATCTGACCATATGACATTCTCCCAATCCTCTTCTGGATCATCCAAATGCACTCTAGCAAACTTCAGACGGGCCTGGACATGTACTGGCTTAAGCAGGGGGACACGTCTGGCACTTCAGGATTTGAGTCCCTGGCGGCGTAGTGTGTTACTGATGGTAGGCTTTGTTACTTTGGTCCCAGCTCTCTGCAGGTCATTCACTAGGTCCCCCCGTGTGGTTCTGGGATTTTTGCTCACCGTTCTTGTGATCATTTTGACCCCACGGGGTGAGATCTTGCGTGGAGCCCCAGATCGAGGGAGATTATCAGTGGTCTTGTATGTCTTCCATTTCCTAATAATTGCTCCCACAGTTGATTTCTTCAAACCAAGCTGCTTACCTATTGCAGATTCAGTCTTCCCAGCCTGGTGCAGGTCTACAATTTTGTTTCTGGTGTCCTTTGACAGCTCTTTGGTCTTGGCCATAGTGGAGTTTGGAGTGTGACTGTTTGAGGTTGTGGACAGGTGTCTTTTATACTGATAACAAGTTCAAACAGGTGCCATTAATACAGGTAACGAGTGGAGGACAGAGGAGCCTCTTAAAGAAGAAGTTACAGGTCTGTGAGAGCCAGAAATCTTGCTTGTTTGTAGGTGACCAAATACTTATTTTCCACCATAATTTACAAATAAATTCATTAAAAATCCTACAATGTGATTTTCTGGAAAAGAAATTCTCAATTTGTCTGTCATAGTTGACGTGTACCTATGATGAAAATTACAGGCCTCTCTCATCTTTTTAAGTGGGAGAACTTGCACAATTGGTGGCTGACTAAATACTTTTTTTAAATCTCATACCTTATGCTCTCAGAGTCTTTCATGTGCTGTTTTGCAAACTCCAGGCATGCTGTCATGTGCATTGTTCTCAGGAGTGTCTTCCGTCTGGCCACTCTCCCATAAAGCCCAGATCGTTGAAGTGCTTTAGAGGCTGTTGTCCTTCTGGGAGGTTCTCCCATCTCAGACAAGTAACTCTGTAGTTCTGTCTGAGTGGTCATTGGGTTCTTGGTCACCTCCCTGACCAAGGTCCTTCTTGCCCTGTTGCTCAGTTTCGTCGGACGGCCAGCTCTAGGCTGGGTAGCTCCATATTTTTTCAATTTCCCATTGATGGAGACCACTGTGCTCTTGGTTACGTTCAACACTCCAGAATTTGTTTTATACCCTTCAGATATGATCCCTACACAGACTCAAGGGGAGCCTGGGAGGGCGGGCCGTCTTTCAAAACCAGTACCCCTTGCAAATCTTCCGAGGTAAAATCCTTAGGTAACAAAACCTTTTCTGCCGCAGCCACAATAATGTCCAGTTTCTTTGACTTCTTTGAGACTTGAGCCGTACAGTTTATAACTGTGGCAATGTACGCCACAAAATCCACCTTTTTAACACACAGGGTATCTTTTGACTGGCAGCAAACATTTACTACAGAATGTGGTGCATCCTTTACCATATCTTCACTACCGTCACTTGTTTTCGCAACTCTTTTAAATTGCCTCCGCATAGGAGATTCGATTGACTGCTTTAACCTTTGCAACCTCAATCTCCTTCACCCTTACAGGGCACTCCAGGAATCACAATTGCAGCACTGTCCTCCTTCTACACACCGTTCTTCAGTATACTCTGTCAGTCTGCACACACTTGAAACATGGCCAAATACTTTAACATTTTTACATTGCAGTGGTTTGGGGACAAAAGCTCTTAAAGCATATTTTTCATAACCAAGCTTCACATGTATAGGTAGGTTTTTATTTTAAAAAACAACAGGACCGACAGACTTTCTTCTTTATTCACCCAGCGGCTCAGACACCGGGCACCAACCACACCAGGAATTCTCTTCAGGTATTCAACCTGAACATCTGTCGTCAGCCCTGAGATGACTCCTTTTACGGGTGCTCTGCTCTGAAGTTCAAAGCACAATACTTCTGTTGTTCGGATTCTTTTGAGCCCAGCTGCAATATTCCTCTGTTCTTTAGAAATACAATTCATCTAAATAAGACCAATCCTGGTCACTCTGATAGACTGCACTTTTCCCAGCACATACTTCACTATTTTCGATACCTCAAACGGGTCACCCACATATGCATCCTTACTCAACAAACACATCCCAACAAGAAACTATTAATTATTGTTCATACACGTATCCTGCACTCCAATTTTAAACAATTTCCTTTTTGTTCAATTTTGACACTACTGTTGTCCATCTTCACTAACTTTGCTCGACGCGCTGCTTTATTCGAACTCAGCCTCCAGTTCCGCCATCTCTCCGCTACCATCTACTCCGCTCCAGAATTCGTTCTCTTCTCTGCCAGTTGCCGTTCTAGAGTTTAGCTAGCTAACCGTCTCTGATTTGACTCAAACGACACTACAATGTCTAGAAACCAATTCACCAGAGCTAGCTCTCTGACATGCACTGTCAACTGTGGGACCTTATATAGACAGGTGTGTTTCTTTCTAAATCATGTCCAAACAATTTAATTGGCCACAGATGGACACCAATCAAGTTGTAGTGACATCTCAAGGATTATCAAAGGAAATTGGATGCACCCGAGCTCATTTTGGAGTGTCATAGCAAAGGGGTGTGAATACTTATGTAAATGAGATATTTCTGTATTTCATTCTCAATAAATTAGCAAAAATGTCTAAAAACATTTCACTTTGTCATTAAGGGGGATTGTGTGTAGATGGGTGAGAGAAATACATATATTTAATCCTATTTGAATTCAGGCTGTAAGACTAAATGTTGAATACGTCAAGGGGTATGAATACTTTCTGAAGGCACTGTACATAATAACTGTCACTTTAGTGCAGGGACTGTAAGTTTCCTTAAATTTGTAGCCTACATTTTGCATCGTCTAGGCCTACCTTTCTTTCCTCTGTCACGTCCATATGGTTGTTGTCATGACTTCCGCCGAGGCTGCCTCCCCTCCTTGTTTGGGCAGGTTTCGGCGTTCGGCGTCACCGGCTTACTAGCTACTGCCGATCCATTTATCATCACTCCATTTGTCTTGTCTTCAATCACACACACCTGGTCCTTATTCCCTCATTAGTCATGGTATAAGTGTTCCCTCTGCTTCCTTGTCTGTGTGGGTGATTGTTTGTTTGTGGAGGTTAGTGAAGCTCGGTGGAGCTCGTGTATTGTGTATCGACGGGAGTATTTTTCCTGTGTGCCTTGTATTTTCCAGTGCGCCTGTTTTGTGCCCTGGAGTGTGTTTGACGCATTTCTGCGTAAACCTATATTTTGCGGATTAAAGCCTGTTATTCTGTGATTTACCCTCCTGCGCCTGACTCCTTCATCACAGTTGTTTAGGAGGATTGCTAGCAACAGTGGATCATATTAACGTATTACAAGTTGTACAATAATTTGAGACACGTAGCCTATTTGAATCATTATGGAAAGCAGACCATACATAGCAGTTTAAACCTGGAGCCTGGCGCACGGTTCATGGTGACTGGACCATTGTCATCACAGTCCATGGATTTATTGGACTACCGTTCAACTCCTATTGTACACCTTTCTCACCTTCCAATATTTAATGGGTTGAACTATTGTATGATTTATAAATACTTTCCTAAACCTAAATAATCTATAAAATCAGAGTATTTTTTAATCTACCAATTGGTGACGAATGTGTGTATTTAGATGGCTTTCTTCGATTGATCCCTATTCTGAACCCATTCTCTTGATACATATTATAGTGAGTCTGTCAAGAAAATTTGAATTAAAGGTACACCTTATTCAAAGTGATGGCTTTAGATAAAAGTACTGAAAACCCTATTGAATGAAAACTCCATGAGAAAATATGTTGGCCAGCAAGTGGGAGGGTTTTCAGTGGTTGAATTACATTTATTGAGTGTGCGCAAGGGAGCCACACCTGCAAAGCCCATTACGCACCTGCATAAAGTAAGTCTGAATTCCAACTACTGAGAAGTGTGTAAATCAAAACACGTAAAAAATGAATAGATTTACTTAGTCTGAATCGGGCCCTTGGTTTGCACTTGAAGGTAGTCTGGACATACTGGGAATGAACCTGATATCCAGCATCAACATTTTATCAGCATACACATTCCTCTCCCAGCAGTTTATGTTCCTCTGTAACCAGGGCAACACTAATGGATTTAGCGCTCTCTAGCAGCCTTTATCTGTATACTGGCAAAGTAAAACAGTTCCTCCTCCTTTCCCGATTCTCACTAGATGGCAATGGCTGCTGCAAAGTCTTATGATTAAGTAAATTAGCTATTTGGTCTTGAATGAGGGTTAGGGTTAGGCTTTGGTTAGGGGGAAGGTTAAGGTTAGGGTAAAGATGTTGTGATGATTACATATTGTATTAGATTTAGGGCTGGCACAATTATCATATATAAATTATGGACAATAACCGCAAACAACAAAATAAGAATCATAATAGTCTTAATACATTTATTTTAGGAGGGGGGCATTGAACTTAATTTTCAAATAGATGTAGTTAGCAGTATTTTTTTTTCTTCTCAATAGCATGTTTTTATTTTTTTCTCAATAGCATGTTTTTTTTTACACCATGGGTGGGTAATGTTGGTAATCATTTTGCAAGCAGAACAGCATGGTTGGGAGGGGAAGCTTCATTTCCAAAAGTTCCCAGCGGTCAACACTATTCGTTTTTGAGAGAGGGGTGTGTCAACAAAGCTATGTTGTATTCATTAAGTATGTCATAGCTAATTTTTTAAGATGCACTATGATGCATTACAAGCTCAAAAAAAAATTATACAAACATTACAATTATGAGCATTACAATTAATCTATACAAAAATCTATAATCGTCACAGCCCTAATTAGAGTCCCTCCACCCAGGCTCCAATCACCCTGTTGAGTGCAACATTCCTGTTCATGTCATCCAGGAGGATTTCATTGGTTCCATGTGGGATAATCTTAGGAGTGCCCTTGGAGCAGTGGCCTTTCCTCCCACCAGGGGACTCAGGGTTCTCATTGAATACTCTGTTAGGGGGCGGGAAGTTAAAGCGTGTATTAACCACCCCTGTTGTTGTTTTTTGTGAACAGGACCTGCAGTCCACTGCAGCCTGGAACCCCCTGCGGAAATTCTCATTGAAGAAGCCATAGATGATGGGGTTAATCCCGCTGTTAAAGAAGGCCAGCCAGTGGGCCACAGGGAACAGGTAGCTGCTGAGGAAGTCAATCTGCTGCGTGTCCAGATCCCTGTAGTCAGTCAGCAGCATCAGCGTCCACAGAGGTAGCCATGACACCATGAAGAGCACCGCCACCATGATCAGCATGTTGATCACTTTAACCCTGCGTTGGGAGTGGGCCCTCCGCACCTCTGCCAGGCTCACCTGCCTCAGGTTGACTGAGAGCTTGGCAACGATGCAGCCATACATGATGCTGATGACACCCAGGGGGGCCAGGTACACATGCACGAAGATGACCATGGTGTAGACCCGACGCATCTCGGGTCGGGGCCAGTTCTCGAAGCAGACGAAGACAGGGTAGGTCTGTTTGTCCTGGACCAGGTAGGTGTCCTCCAGGTGAATGATGGTCAGGGTGGCGGCCGAGGGGCAGATGACAGCAAACGCCAGCACCCAGATGAAGAGGATAGTGAGGAGAGCAGTCACAGGCCTCATTCGATGTCTAAAGGGGTACACAATACCTGTGAACCTGAGAGAAGAGGGATATAGGGAAGGAGAGAGAGAGAGAGAGAGAGAGAGAGAGAGAGAGAGAGAGAGAGAGAGAGAGAGAGAGAGAGAGAGAGAGAGAGAGAGAGAGAGAGAGAGAGAGAGAGAGAGAGAGAGAGAGAGAGAGAGAGAGAGAGAGAGAGAGACAGACAGACAGAGAGACAGAGAGACAGAGAGTAGGGAGGAAGAGAGGCCGAGAGCCACAGAGAGAAATGTTTGGTTTGACAATTACAGCAATGAAGTTGGCAAGAGCACAAACAGATATGGGACCAGGATAGTGTGGTGGTGGATTACCTGTCAACAGCTATGGCCACCAGAGTGAAGACTGATGCTGACACTGACATCCCCTGGACCAGGTTGCTCATGGTGCATGTAATCTGGCCAAATGGCCATCCTGGAAAGAAAGACTGTATTACACACAAGCAGTAGCCCGGTTGCTACACCAAATATTTTAATCTTAATGAATCTTAATTTGTTTCGATTGACATTGGATTTTAAGACTGTAGATGTGTGGATATAAATTGTTTGAAGGGAGCAAACAGTGTGAAAGGGTGGGAAAATGCATAAATGTAATAGATACCCACTGGGCACAAGCTGGTCGAATCAACGTTGTTTCAATGTAATTTGTCAACGTATTGTGACATGGAATCAACATGGAAAATACATTGGATTTGAAAAAAGTCAAAACTCTTGTTTTGAAAATGAAAATTCAACCACAGGATTATGTCATCATTGTAACCAATTTTCAACATAGACAAACTGTGTATAAAATATGTTGAATTGGTACCTTTGAAACAACGTCAGATCTTCAACGTTACATCCACTACCTCCTACTGGAGAGTTGATCTACAACTATTCATTTGTTATCCCATCCAGGGTTTTAACCATGCCCAACCCTGTTTAGCTTTTATATTTGTCACTGACTACTACCAATATATAACTAAATATATTCACTGTTGCTATCAAAGTAATTCCAAAGGGTAGGTTTAACAGAGCAAATTAAATGTAACCATATTTCTTTATAAGTCATATATCATCAATTATACTATTTAGGCCTATATACCATTTGCAAAGTCATAAACAGCTATTGTCTCAATTCAACCCAGGGTTAAACTAAAAATAGACAATACATATGCTTCGTTTCCACAAGGAGCCCAATTCTGATATTTTTTTCATTCATTGGTCTTTTGACCAATCAGATCAGCCTTGATTGGTCAAAAGACCAATTAGTTAAAAAATATCAGAATTGGGCTGCCTGTGTAAACGTAGCCTTATAGGCCTAGAGTTTCAAGCTTTGGTTGATTTAAAATGTAATCTTCAAATTAATCATTAATATTTTATTTGAATTGATTGTAAATGCACATTAAATAAAGTTGATTTGATTGAGTCCTATTCTTTAACTTTGATTATTGGTTGAGATGGAGAAGTGAATCCAACATATCAATTATTAATTCGTAGACAAATTGGAATTAAAACCAGACTAAGTCAGTGGCACAAAATCTCCTTCAAATGTTGATATTTGGTTGCGTTGACAACCACACACAATTCAATTACACTTTTGCAATACAGTAAATACCCTATTAACTTGTCACAAGTTAACTAATGATATGTTGGATTAATGTCTCCAACTAAACCAAAAATCTAAGTTAAAGAATAGGATTAAGCCAGTGGCTCAGATGAAACTATCCAAGCATTAGATAGGCTGTCCTTTAAATGTTGATATTGGACCAATTTGTAAACCAAACACAATTCAATAATACTTTTGTAATACAGTAGCCTAAAGTTAAGGCTATGTTACAAACTAATGTAACAGTATTTATTCAACCTTAAAATGAGTAACACATCCATGGCCACATTTTGAGGTTAACCTACTGTAAATGTCTTCTTATGTAGGCCTAATTACAGAAAGCGTGTGCATGTTCAAGATAACATGCAAAGATAGCAGGTCTTTGGAGATCTACACAATTGCTATAATAATCTGCGCAGAATCTTGAACAGCATTGATCACTTGCAATGTACTTTTAATGTAATCTCAACTGCAATCCAGGGCCCGGTTTCCGAAAAGCATTTTAAGCCTACATTCATGGGTAGAACCTTTGTAGGCGCATCGTTAAATCTCTGAGCGGTTTCCCAAAACCAGACCCGACCCGGTGCCAGAACGAATCATTTGGACGGCATGTTATTTCCATAGGCTGGCCCGTTTTCTCACGGGGCCTCCTATGTGTGCGCAGGCTGGCCCACCTGTTGTTGACTGTTTTGCATATTATTTTGGCATTCATTCGGGTCACATATCAGTTTGCAAACAATGTAAAAACAAATATATTGAGCGAATAAAGCCGAATACAAAACATGATCTCTTTCTTGCTTTCTTGAGTAAGGCAGCTCCAAAATACAGATGTTTCAGCCTAGCTCAGTGCTTTCTGTGGTGGAGGGGCAGCCAGCGGAACATACAGAGCATAGGCGTTGGTAATCTTTTCTAGTTGTGCTGTGATTGGCTCAGTGTTCTGTCACTCATGGGGACACTACCTCACCGCAGAATCTACAGGGAGAGCTAGGCAGTTCAAGCCCCCTTGGGTGCTGCCATAGATTTACATTAGAAGTGCCCATCCAAGAAGGCTCAAGGTCATTGGTCACAGATAAAATGACCTCAAATCATGTTATATCTACCTAGCTTTGATTGGACTGATCAGGTCAACATCATACTTTCAAAATCTTAGCTAGCAAGCTAGACAAGTTAAGGCCTCAACATCTATCTGAATTTCTGTCTGTGTCCATTTTGAAAGTGATGAATGAATAGGCCTACCTCGTCGCAGCTTGTTTGCTTGCACTTGCTTATACTTAGAGCTAAGTGTTAATGATATAAGAATAAACATTATGAATTTACTGAACATAAATGTAATAATGTTTGTGTATGGTTCAAATGTCAAAACTCATTTTGGCGTTCATTATTATTGAAGGAGAATGCGGTTCTTATCGACTTACACAAATCCACAAGGAGTCAGTAGTAACCACATTTGTTTAAGCAAGTCAGCCATATCAGCTGTTGTTTAAAAAAAGGCAGTAAATCAGGCTGAATGAACTGTTTCGCTGCCAGACAAGGATCCGCTGATAGCCAGGTGTAGCGGTGGTAAGGATTCACTCCATGGTGCTGAAAGGAAAGCTCTGCTGTTGGGACAGCTTTATGTAGGCTCTCACAGTATGGGCACCGTTTGTCACCGTTATAGTGCAATTCGTGTATTGTTTAGTGTTGTGTAGTGGCTTTGCTGGCATAACATTTTTTGAGTTTGCCCCACCAAAATGTACATGCTAAAATTGCCACTGAATGGGCATAGGCAGCTCAAAGACCGTAGGCAGCTCATGAGTTTCAAGTTTGGGGAAGCTTACAATTTATTCTACAATTTCTACCGATCTGTGTGCCAGTTATGAATATTTATGTATGCACATTTTCGTGGAACAGTTTCATTTGAATAATAACGTTTTTGTTTCTCAAAATCATTGTTTGTTAACTTTGAGATTTTTACAATTTTAACTTTAAATGGTAAAAATCTAAAAGTTAAAATTAAACTATGGACAGAGCACTAGCCTCTGCCATATGGACACATTGATACACTGTGACCCATTGGCGGCTAAAGAAATGAGAGCATAGAACTCAGAGATGCAACTGTAGGCCTATAACTTCCATCGTCAACTAAGTAACATACATTGGCCTAAAGCCGACAACTACAAACAGTAGAAAATATCCTGATGAAAATTCCGGTTCTTTCAATCACATTCATCTCTCTTCTCCGCCTGTCTGCCTCCCTTTCTATATGTCTTGACTTGAGCTATTGCTAGTGAAGTTCAACATTGTATCAAATTATAACTCCGGCCCTGCCCAAAACCATCCTTATTAATTTTGCACTTGAAAACGCTCATAATCTAACGCTTGCGTCAGACCACTCCTAGAACAACGAAGTGCGTCGTTAGATGTATTTTTTTGCAATTAAGCATCTCTTATGCACAGATCTCCGCTAAACATAGAATCAAATGGTTTGTACGTCTCTCTGTGATCGCCAATAACTTCAGAACAAAGTTGACTACAAATACAAAGTTGCCAATGTCTTTGCAATTGCGACACATAAAGCTACATATAAAAATATGCTTCAAATTAAAACCGAGATGACTGTATTAAAATATCAATACAGTAGGTTTAATACAATACAGTAGGCTATAGGCTAGGCCAATTTAAATCATATTGAAATACATTTCATGTCCAATCAATTGAGTTATTATTTTGCTACTTGTAGGCTACTGTTTGTAATTTGTCTCAATATATTTCATTATGTGTAGCCTAACGTGCCCAATGATATGCCAAATCTTTTAGTGCATTATTATAGGGTAAGTCTTAAAATAAGCCACCTCAATATTTGCAGCCATAGGTAATAATATCTTTCTAGGAGCTGATCCGTCGTCACTATTGTGGAATAATTCGAACGTTAAGGGGAGATTTGAATGGAGAACGCTGATCCAAGAGCAGCGTTGCCTTTATTTTGATCCTATCAGTATCAACATCACTTTTATACATATTCAAATAATGATTGACATATTTTCATTAAAAACTTTATTTTTATTAATTTATTCGTACAATTTCATCCTTCCACAAGTCGTTCGTTCTTTTTGTTCTGTGTCTATGGACGCGACCCAGTCGTTCAGTCTTTTTGTTCTGTATCTATAGACGCGACCCAGTCGTTCGTACTAAATGTTCCATTGCCATACTGACTGGCAACATTATTATCCCTTGCTTGCTAGCTAGCGAACTACGGCTAATTTACAGTCAAAAAGTTCCGCCAGAATAACAGCCAGGTAGCTGCATTTGCATTTGTTTAAGCTGTTTTCTAGTGACATTTATTTGGATACATCCATAACAATGAGCTAATGAGGCGCGATTTCGCCTGGCATAGAGAATGTGCTCACTCGTCACACTGTTGTTCAGAGGAGCTAGCCAACAACACAGCTACAGTAACACAATTACTTCAAACTGTAGCTGGAAAGACTGCAAATTAGCTGCGTTTCGTTTTACCTTTTTTCAATTGACATTTTTTTTGTATATCCATAAAAATCAGCTGATTCATGATTTCGACCGGCTGAGAAACGCTGCCTGCCTTTCTGTCACGTCCCGACTCACGACACGTTCAATACTATGGGACAGCAGATCAAATTTGAATATTGAAACAATGTTGCAAATGTCGGAGAGACAGACAGCAAGGTTTATACACATCTCCGCTCTGTTGAAAACTAAATGTTAGTCTAAAAGAAATGTGAGATAATGTCTAGATGCTTTTAATAGTGGAGATCAAGTTTAGGTAGCTTAGTGGTTAAGAGCGTTGTGCCAGTAACCGAAAGGTTGCTGTTCTAATCCCCGAGCCGACTAGGTGAAAAATCTGTCGATGTGCCCTTGAGCAAACCACTTAACCCTAATTGCTCATGTAAGTCGCTCTGGATAAGAGCGTCTGCTAAATGACTTAAATGTAATAAAGTGCCTGACTAGGTTGATGAGACCGTGGATTGAGCAGTCAGATGGAACAGTGTAAATAGGCATTTTAACGTCATAGATTTAGCTGGCGGTAACTTGTGGAATAGACAACGGCTGGAATGCGGTTTTAACCAATCAGCATTCAGGATTAGACCCACCGGTTGTATAAACTTAAACAACGCATTTAGCAAACGTTTTCTCTGGATGTTACATCTTCGGCTGTTGTAGGAAAGATGCATCGTTAAAACACTTGTCTTTACCTTTTTTGCCTTTTGTGCTGTTGTCTGTGCCCAACAATGTTTGGACCATGTTTGTGCTGCTACCATGTTGTGTCGCTACTGTGCTGTGTCATGTGTTGCTGCCATGCTGTGTTGTTGTCTTAGGTCTCTCTTTATGTAGTGTTGTGATGTCTCTCTTGTCATGTTGTGTGTTTTGTCCTACATTTGTATTTTTAATCCCAGCCCCGTCTCCGTAGGAGGCCTTTTGCCTCTTGGTAGGCCGTCATTGTAAATAAGAATTTGTTCATAACTGACTTGCCTAGTTAAATAAAGGTAAATAAATAAATAAAAAAGCATGCCTAAATTCCATCACTATCGGGAAACCAGGCCCAGTGATAACACATTTAGATGACAACTAAACCAAAAATCGGACATTGTTTAAACTTTTTCATTTGGAATTTTGTTGTGCTTTTAGATGGATGAAAGCATACTGAATTCAAGAAACTTCTGGCTGTCTTTTTGAGTGGGTAAATAAAAGTTGAAATCTCATTGATCAACGTATTAACCAAATATTACACAAATTTCCACGATGAAATGATGTGGTGTGCCCAGTGGGTATGCACTAATTCATTCATATCAACAGCAAGTTCATTGAAATCCAGCGTTTTCACTCCACTCCAGACCTTCTAACACTTGGTTGACTCAACTGGTGACAGCCTCGAGCTGAAAAAGCCACAGTGAAACCTTTGAGCCCTGCACAGAAAGTTAACACTCTCGCCTCCAGAACCATATGATTCCCCTTGCCGCGGGGATCCCGCATCAATCTCTGCATGAGCCCTACGCATTTCTGCTCCCTCTACTCTGGATCGCTGGTCATGCTCCTATTCTGTCATTAAAATAATAATACAAAAAATCTATATAAGGAGTTCGGAATTCCGTTCTCCTTAAAAAAATAAGAAAGTCCAATTTGAATAAAAATACAAGTATTATTACAATATTACACTAAATGCTCAACAGGAAAACGTTCAATTAAAGCCAACTGGGACATTTGTTGGCTGGATTTAATGATGCAGACAAAACGACTGCAGGACAGTCCCTGCAACACTCACGCTACAAATTGATGCACAAGTAATAACTATAATTTTTAATGACAAGCCTGCCAATCATGAATCCAGGCAATGACAAGGAAAACTTCCCACCTGATATTAGGCTGTCAATCAAAGTCGTTGGAACGCAGAACACTCCAATGAGCAGGTCACTGATGGCCAAGTTGAGGATAAAGAGGTTGGTGACGGAGCGCATGTTGCGGTTCCGGAGGACCACCAGGGAGACCAGCACGTTCCCCCCGATGCAGAGCAGGAGAACCGCCACATAGCACAGGATATAGATGACGGACATGCCAGTGGAGTGCAGGTAATAAGGCATATAGGTGCGGTTGGCTCTGTCCATAGTGGCGCTGTCCATGGTGCTGTTCAGAGCAGTTTCATTCAGTGACGCAATCTCCATTTTCACAAGTCACCTTCCAAGTGGAATCACATCAGAAAAAGTTGTTATACCCTACATATTGCATAGAAACCTAGCAGATACAAACAGATTTTTAAAAGAAACGTAAAGAATATAAAAGAAAAACGATAAAGCCATACACACCCACATTATCTCAAAAACGCTTTAGTCATCATAACCATAATCAAGGAAAGGTTGGCATTTGGACAATCCACTCCATCGTGATTTATTGTTCTTATTTTTTACCATAACTTTATCAAATGACACGTATGTTCTTACTGAAACAATTACATGAAAACGTCTGTGAAACTGACGAAGAAAACAAATACAGTAAAAGCAGTGAGAACAAATGGTGGGTTAAATTCAAAAGATTGAGAGGGCAAAGTTGCAATTTCATAGAAATCTGCAGGATGACTATTGAGATTTTCAAAGAGGGACTTACCTTTGGAAGAGCTCCACTATAGTTATCTTGTCTGGTCTTGTCTGTGCTGGTGCGCTCTACTGCGCCTCGTAATGCCTCTAGTCCGCTTCTGGAAACACATCAGCGTCACTCATTCTCTATAACGATTAGGGATACTGTACCACATGGTAGTGCAAACAATGCATGTAGCCTATATTTGATTTATAGTAAGCCTACAGAACAATTTAAACGAAATTCGATATTATTTAGTTCCTGGAAAATGGCTTATATTTTTTGGACTTTTTTCCCACCACTATAAGACTTGCTCATTCTTTATCCTGATTGATGACAAATCAGTAAGTAAATTGGGCACTTCCAGATCTCCAAACATGTAAATTATGGTCCAAGTGTAAGTTACTGTATGATGATATAACCTGCTGACAAGTTACAAGGAGAGTCCCAACAGACTTTGAAATCAAAGTAACCTAGTAGTAGAAAGATGTGACTGGACAGTAGAGTGGATATCATAGAGGTGTATATTCACACATTCACAACACAAATACAACAGTTGGCTCTTCAAAAAGATGAACTCTGACTCTGGGTCCTTTCACAACAGGTGCATATATACTGAGATCATGTGACACTTAAATAAAGTCCACCTGTGTGCAATCTAACTAATTATGTGACTTCTGAAGGTAATTGGTTGTACCAGATCTTATTTAGGGGCTTCATAGCAAAGGGGGTGAATACACATGCACACACCACTTTTCCGTTATTAATATTTTATAATTTATTTAAACAAGTTATTTTTTAAATTTACCTTCACCAATTTGGAACTATTTTGTGTATGTCCATTACATGAAATCCAAATAAAAATCCATTTAAATTACAGGTTGTATGTCACGGATTCTGTCGAGGATGCCCCTCCTCCTTGCTCAGGCAGGCTTCGGCGTTCGTCGTCACCGGAATACTAGCTGCTGCCGATCTATGTTCTATGTTTCTATGTTCTACCTGTTGTTGTCTGATTATCTCACACCTGTTTCCCATCGTGTAATTACTCCTTCCCTATTTAACCCGGTGGCTCCCATTGTGTTTTGTGCGTGTTTGTTATTTCGCTTCGTGTGTCGTTTGGTGAGTGGGTTTGCTCCTCCCTGTGTGGAGGTATTTTGTATTTGTTTCTTTACTTGTCAGTAAAGTACGTTTTCATTGAGTTACATTTACATTTACATCATTTAGCAGACGCTTTTATCCAGAGCGACTTACAAATTGGTGCATTCACCAGCCAGTGGGATAACCACTTTACAATATTTATTTTTTTTTTTTTTTTTTTTTGTTTTTGGGGGGGGGGGGGGGGGGGGGTAGAAGGATTACTTTATCCTATCCCAGGTATTCCTTAAAGAGGTTCAAGTGTCTCCGGAAGGTGGTGAGTGACTCCGCTGTCCTGGCGTCGTGAGGGAGCTTGTTCCACCATTGGGGTGCCAGAGCAGCGAACAGTTTTGACTGGGCTGAGCGGGAACTGTGCTTCCGCAGAGGTAGGGGGGCCAGCAGGCCAGAGGTGGATGAACGCAATGCCCTCGTTTGGGTGTAGGGACTGATCAGAGCCTGAAGGTACGGAGGTGCCGTTCCCCTCACAGCTCCGTAGGCAAGCACCATGGTCTTTTAGCAGATGCGAGCTTCAACTGGAAGCCAGTGGAGTGTGCGGAGGAGCGGGGTGACGTGAGAGAACTTGGGAAGGTTGAACACCAGACGGGCTGCGGCATTCTGGATGAGTTGTAGGGGTTTAATGGCACAGGCAGGGAGCCCAGCCAACAGCGAGTTGCAGTAATCCAGACGGGAGATGACAAGTGCCTGGATTAGGACCTGTGCCGCTTCCTGTGTAAGGCAGGGTCGTACTATCCGAATGTTGTAGAGCATGAACCTACAGGACCGGGTCACCGCCTTGATGTTAGCGGAGAACGACAGGGTGTTGTCCAGGGTCACGCCAAGGCTCTTCGCACTCTGGGAGGAGGACACAACGGAGTTGTCAACCGTGATGGCGAGATTATGGAACGGGCAGTCCTTCCCCGGGAGGAAGAGCAGCTCCGTCTTGCCGAGGTTCAGCTTGAGGTGGTGATCCGTCATCCACACTGATATGTCTGCCAGACATGCAGAGATGCGATTCGCCACCTGGTTATCAGAAGGGGGAAAGGAGAAGATTAGTTGTGTGTCGTCTGCGTAGCAATGATAGGAGAGGCCATGTGAGGATATGACTGAGCCAAGTGACTTGGTGTATAGCGAGAATAGGAGAGGGCCTAGAACTGAGCCCTGGGGGACAGCAGTGATGAGAGCACGTGGTGCGGAGACAGATTCTCGCCACGCCACTTGGTAGGAGCGACCGGTCAGGTGGGACGCAATCCAAGAGTGAGCCGCGCCGAGGATGCCCAGCTCGGAGAGGGTGGAGAGGAGGATCTGATGGTTCACAGTATCAAAGGCAGCAGACAGGTCTAGAAGGACAAGAGCAGAGGAGAGAGAGTTAGCTTTAGCAGTGCGGAGAGCCTCCGTGACACACAGAAGAGCAGTCTCAGTTGAATGACCAGTCTTGAAACCTGACTGGTTTGGATCAAGAAGGTCATTCTGAGAGAGATAGCAAGAGAGTTGGCTAAAGACGGCACGCTCAAGAGTTTTGGAGAGAAAAGAAAGAAGGGATACTGGTCTGTAGTTGTTGACATCAGAGGGATCGAGTGTTGGTTTTTTGAGAAGGGGTGCAACTCTCGCTCTCTTGAAGATGGAAGGGACATAGCCAGCGGTCAAGGATGAGTTGATGAGCGAGGTGAGGTAAGGGAGAAAGTCACTGGAGATGGTCTGGAGAAGAGAGGAGGAGATAGGGTCAAGCGGGCAGGTTGTTGGGCGGCCGGCCGTCACAAGTCGCAAGATTTTATCTGGAGAGAGAGGGGAGAAAGAAGTCAAAGCATAGGGTAGGGCAGTGTGAGCAGGACCAGCAGTGTCATTTGACTTAACAAACGAGGATCGGATGTCGTCAACCTTCTTTTCAAAATGGTTGACAAAGTCATCCACAGAGAGGGAGGAGGGGGGAGGGGGAGGAGGATTCAGCAGGGAGGAGAACGTGGCAAAGAGCTTCCTAGGGTTAGAGGCAGATGCTTGGAATTTAGAGTGGTAGAAAGTGGCTTTAGCAGCAGAAACAGATGAATAAAATGTAGAGAGGAGGGAGTGAAAAGATGCCAGGTCCGCAGGGAGTCTAGTTTTCCTCTATTTCCGCTCGGCTGCCCGGAGCCCTGTTCTGTGAGCTCGCAATGAGTCATCAAGCCACGGAGCAGGAGGGGAGGACCGAGCCGGCCGGGAGGATAGGGGAGTTCTGTGTCCTGCGCCTGACTTCGACCCACCGCATTACACTGACACTCGTGACAGAAACACGCACCAGTATGGAGTCAGCAGGTACAGCCAGTCAGTCCAGATCGATGGAGGAACGCGTCCGACAACAGGAGAGCATGATCCAGGCTCTCGGCACCGCTATGGAGAGAGTGGTAAATACTATGGACCGATGGGAGAGAGGTGGCTTTACTACACCACCTCCAACAAATCAACCTCCCACACCACTGTCCACCCCTTCGCCACCTGGGTCCAGTGGGTTTCGGCTCTCGCTCCCGAGGGCATATGACGGTACACCAGCCGGGTGTCAGGGTTTTCTTCTCCAGGTAGAGCTCTACCTGGCAACCATTCACCCGGCACCCTCGGGATACGAGAGCGTGTCCGCCCTCATCTCCTGTCTGTCGGGGAAGGCGCTCGAGTGGGCCAACGCCGAGTGGAGAGGTATAGACGCTACCTCAGTCCGCTACAAGGATTTCACTCGCCGCTTCCGGGCGGTATTCGATCATCCACCGGAGGGGAGAGCGGCGGGCGAACGTCTGTTCCACCTAAGACAGGAGAGGAGGAGTGCGCAGGATTTTGCGCTGGAGTTCAGGACTCTGGCAGCCAGCGCAGGATGGAATGAGAGGGCCCTGATCGACCACTATCGATGCAGCCTAAGGGAGGACGTTCGTCGGGAACTGGCCTGCAGGGATACCAACTTCAACCTGGACCAACTGGTGGAGATGTCCATCAGGCTGGATAACCTGTTGGAAACCCGCGGACGTTCTGAGTAGGCATAGCACTGGTCGACCGTCTCAGGTGAGTAAGCACCCGACTCACCCAGAGCTCCCTGTTGCTCATATGTGTATTGAGGTTGTTTTCCCAGAGTTTTCTCCTCATTCCCAGCATAAGGTGCTAGTAGATTCAGGCGCAGCTGGGAATTTTATTGATCGTCAGTATTCACTTAGTTTAGGGATTCCCACTGTACGTGTTGATGTGCCCTTCCCTGTACATGCATTAGATAGTCGCCCGTTAGGGTCAGGCCTAATCAGGGAGGTCACCGCTCCACTCTTAATGAGGACGCAGGGGGGTCATGAGGAGAGGATTAGTCTCTATCTGATTGATTCTCCTGTGTATCCTGTGGTGTTGGGACTTCCCTGGTTAACCACTCATGACCCCACTATTTCATGGCAACAGAGGGCTCTCAAGGCATGGTCCAGTCAGTGCTCAGGGAGGTGTGTAGGGGTTTCCTTAGGGG